TGGGAGGGTGAGGTGAGTGGCTGCCTGAGCCCGCGGGTTCGAGACCCACCTGGGTAGGTGAGACTTCATCTCTACAATAAATCCAAAAAAATTCACCAGGTGTGGTAGCGTGCGCCTGTAATTCCGGCTACTCGGAAGGCTGAGGCGGAAGGATTGCCGGAGCCCAGCAGGTCGAGGCTGTGGTGGCCAGGAGTGGCCACTGCACTCCAGTCTGGGCAACAGAGTGAGACTCCAACTCTAAAAAAAAAAAAAAAAAAAAAAGGAAAAAAGAAATACAGCTGCCCAGGGAAGGTGCCTGTCTTTCCCATCTGCTGGTCTCTTTTCTCTAAGGGGTGTGTGAGCTTGAAAAGAGGTGCTGTACGGTTCTTAGACTACAAGCTCTATAATGGCTCTGCTCTGACAGGTGCAGAACAGAGCCTGCTTCAAGACACTCCAAATAGAGGAAAAGTTCCATCTAATAGGCAGGGTGACTTCGACTCTTCACCTTTCTTCATTCACACAGGACAGGGACTGCTGAGCATTCCTGGATAACACAGCATCTTGGCACTGCAAGTTCAGTTGATGTAGTTTTTACTGTAAGCAACATCCACTTCTGTTCCTGCCAGGTAGAACCCAATCCTCTAGCTTTAAAATTAAAGAAAGGCCCAAGTTCACCATCCCTGAGTGGTTTTCATCAGAAGACCGAAAGGCGAGCATCTCAACCCAGTTCTGGACCTCCCTTGCTTTCCCTCTCCAGCTCTGCTATAAGTATCACAGAATTAACAGGCTGGAAGGAACCTCAGGGGTCACCTAGTCAGTCCAAGTCTCTTATTTTACTGATATGGACACAGAGGTTCAGATTCGAGAAGGGATATGCTTGATGAGCCACAGTTAGAGTTGGGAAAACCCCAAACCAAGTTCCATTAGAGACCATCTATCAGAATTGTGTCCAGGGAGGAGGATGGGAGAAAGGAAACAATGTTAGAAATAGAGTGCATATGCCCGGGAAAGTCTTCCCAAGCCACAACAACCCCCTCCACCAGCTGTGGGGCTACAACTACCCAGGCTCTCCAACCCCACCCACACCAGGACGGCAAGAGAGAAACAGTGACTGATGTCCAGTGACAGATTTTTTTTTTTTGTATTTAAAAACAAAACCAGCCTCCCCCCCAAATAACCCCCCCCAAACAAAAAACCGGATTAAATAAAATTTACAGTGAATATACCCAGCAAACATCTGTATGTGCAATTAAATACTGCGTCTGTTACTGCGGCACAAACCTGAAACAAACAATATACAAGTGTTCTGGGGGGAGGGGGGAGTCCCAAGTTTAACTCTGTGGGGTTTGAGAAGACAAGATGGGGGAAGTGAGAGAATGGGGAAATCAATTTTGTTTATCTTAATTCTGTCCATATAAATATATTCATAAAGACCAAAAAAGGAAAGGGAGCTTGGGATGTTAAGGAAACAGGAGAATAGGGAAGTGGGACCCTCCCAATTCTACCTGACCAAAAAATATGAAATTAATTTCATGGTATAAGAGGAGATAAAAAAAATGATAGAAGAGGATGGGAAGAAGGGGGAAGCAGAGGGAAAGAGGTGGGACCCAGGCCAGGGCGCAAGAAGGAATCCAGTGCCTGTGTGGGTGTCTGTTTCTACCTTAATCCCAAGTCTTAGGCTCCAGTTTAGCGTCAGTCCTCTGACCTCCTGCCTCTGTCTGTGTTCCATCAGGCTCCCCCAACCCTTCCACCCTGCTCCCACCCCTCCTGTGCCAGTCCCTTCCCCTCCTCCCTTTATTGGGAGCTGGCTCGCTCCAGGATCCTCAGGTCATAGTTCTTTTTGGCCATTCGAAGTTTGAAGCGACTCACGGAGTTGTTGAGACGAAGGGAGGCATTTTGGGCTGCCAGGGGGCTGGGGAACACAGCCACAATGGTATACAAGGCAGCGAGGTCCGAGTGGCGGCCATTCTCGGCAGTCCCACTGTTGTCCCCCCCACCCCCACCAGGCAGCCCCTGAGCATCCTTGAGCCACTGGATCTTGGCGCCGGACATGGCAAGCTGCGTGAAGAGTTTGTCCGCCTCGGTGCGGGTGATGCCCTCAGGGAGATCTGTCACCTCCAGCACCCGCCCCAGGACTAGAAGGGGAGGAGAGAGGACATGTTGTGAGAGGTATAGGGTAGGAAGGACTGGACAGTGGCTCGGCAAAGTGTTCATCTGAGCAAGTCTGTATACAATGCCCCTCAAAAGCCTGGCCTTTTCTGCTTAGCCCTTTCTTCCCCTCCCCACATCAACTTGATTCCCTACCACCCATACACTGCTTAAGGCAATGGGGGGGGGGTAGGGGAAGAAGAAAGATACTGTTTCTACTCCCAGCCCACATATGTAGGCAAGAAGGGACTGGGAACCAGAATCCCAGGCTTATGACCTGGGGACCTATTCCTCGGTTCTCTCGCAGGGTGCCATTTCTATGAAGGAAATGTGGCTTCTGCTGATGTCCTTTTTTTTTTTTTTTTTTTTGAGTTGGAGTCTCACTCTGTCACCCAGACTGCTGGAGTGCAGTGGCCGCTCCCGGCCACCGCAGCCTCGACCTGCTGGGCTCCAGCGATCCTTCCGCCTCAGCCTTCCAAGTAGCTGGAACTACAGGCATGCGCTACCACACCCAGCTAATTTTTGATTTATTGTAGAGATGAGGTCTCACCAAGTTGCCCAGGCGGGTCTCGAACCCGCGGGCTCAGGCAATCCACTCACCTCAGCCTCCCAAAGGCGCAGGATTACAGGCTGAGCCACCGAGCCCGGCTGCTAATGCTCTTTAACAAAGTCAATGAAACAATCAGAAATATGTTCCATAGTTCCCTTCCCAGTTTCCCTTCCTGTTCTTGTTCAGCAAACTTCTCCAAACAGGAAGACTCCTAAGTATGGAACGCCTGTAGGAGGACAGTTACTCCCCCATATTCTCTATCAATCTTCTTCTAAATTGGGTCTAGGACTACCCAAGGTAGATGTCCTAGATTAGGGTTAGGACTCTAATTAGAAGACCCTGCTATTAAGAGGTTCAACAAGTCCCATCATTGTGTTATCCCAATTTTCACTGTGATTGCGAGTCTCAAGACCTAGGAAGGCTTAGCAGGGAGGACTGAGGTCCTTCACTTCTTCAGCTGCTGCTTGCTTTTGAGCACAAAGGGTCCCATTTTCACTCCCCAACCTGAGCTGGCGTTTCCCACCCTACTGGGCTGGTCATGAAGGGACTCTGCATCCTGTGACTCACCGACATCTGCTGTCCCCAGATCAGTAGAGGCAGATTTGAGTGCTTGCCTCTTGCCTCGGTTTCCATGCTTCAATCCGCTTTGTCCCTTCAACATTCGAAAGACAACTCTCAGCCCAGGTGAACAACACTGACTGCCTTGGAGCAGAACATCTGCCTGGGAGACTAAAGAGTGGCACCCAACTGAGGACCCCACCCCACCAGGCAGATTGGCCATGGAATGGTCACAGAGAAACCCTGCTTGGCGCTGGGGTCAGGTGAAAGGCATGAGTACAG